GTAAAATTAATAGGCAAAATATACTCCTTCTTATTAGAAAATAGAGCTCAAGATAAAAGCAAGAACACACCTTTGACAAAATGGAGTAACAATTTAGGGAAAACAATTGACCCACGAAACTGGGAAGGGATATGGAAGAATATGAAACAGTTAAAGGCGATTTCATTAAAAGAAAATCTGTTCAAGATATGCTATCGGTGGTATTTAGCTCCTGCCAGAATAGCCAGGTTTTACCCTGGGTGCAGCAATATTTGCTGGAAGTGCAAAAGCCAAATTGGTTCGTTCTATCATGCCTGGTGGACGTGTGATGTGGTAAAGAATTACTGGAAAGAGATACACAAGATAATCACACAAGCAATGAAAATCCAAATACCACTAGACCCTGAAATATTCCTATTGAATATACTACCAGACAGTTGGGAAAAGAAAGACAAACATGTATTGACGAACTTAACAGCGGCAGCCAGAATTGTATTGGCTAGTCACTGGAAAAGAAGCGAAATTCCGGATAGGTTGGACTTTATAAATAAATTAATTGAGGTAATAGAAATGGACAATTTAACACAAAAACTCCGCGGAGGAACAAATTCAGTGTTTATATCTATGTGGTCAAACGTATATGAATGGATCGATAGAAATGTCTGAAGAAATCTGTTTATGTAATATAATACGTTCGGAAGATCTATATTAGATCTGATATAGGATCGATTTTATATAGGGGGAGGGGAGGGAAGGTGGGAGGTGGGAGTGTATAGGGTGTGTGGGTGGGAGTGTATAGGGTGTATGGATGGTGGTTGTATTAACACTTATATATCAATAAACAATTATTTAAAAAAAAAAAAAAAGAGCAGCAGTCTTCGTTGATTACTCTTGCCAAGCTGATGGGTCTTTTAGTCTGTTACATACACACTGTACCTTGAGCTCTTTGGCATGCGAGACCTCTTCAACAGCTTCTGTATACACGTTCATAAGACACTATAAGATCAATCTCTTCGACTCTACTGATATGGCCTTTGGGCGTAGAGTCCTTCAACATGTTCTGACAGACGCAAACGATGACCCACCCAAATACTGAGGACACGGCTATGGGAGGTCCCATCAAGATGTCCTCCTCTCAGAGGGAGAAAGGGCCATTGGTACTTACTGTGAAGGGTCCTTCTCCTCTGACATAAGGAGGACATCTTGGCCCTCCCGTGTCATTGTCATCTTTTTCTGCCAGTTCTATATCTTCTGTATCTGTTTGGTCCTTCCTGTCCCTGTCTTACTCCTTGTCTA